TGGATGGGGCAGTTGGAAGTTAATAAAATCTTGTGGTCTTATTCTCACCCTAAGCAGAATACTCTATCACTCTAGCTTTGACTGGGACCTATCAGTAGGCGTAGGATAAGCTATTAAAGACGAATACGGCAAAACCTACTCAGACTAAAAACTCACTGTTTTTTTTCTTTCTCCATATCGTGACTACCATCAGATGGGAATCATCTTCCTGGTCTGCACCATCATCATAATGTGACATGGCTTTTCAAGGAGTGGCACATGCGAAGGATGGTTAATGGTCATAGTACAGTTAAGAGACAAATGGTACTGAAGTATTCAACGTTTTTTTTTGGACTTTTCTGGTATATATATATATATATATTGTGTACCTTTTTTCCTAGTAAAAATTTTGCAAATGTAAACATCGAATCATAGCCCTGAAATTTTTGTTGCAAAAAAGAAAAAACCGCAATCCAAGAGTTAAACGTGGAGACTGGAGCATAAACGAATCTCTCTCTCTCTCTCACATTGAATGGATGAGTAGTGAGGTCCTGTGAACTCTAATCAGATGGATAGCATGAACCAGTTTGCTGCTGGTTTCCCTGCATTTGTTGTAAGTTATAACGTCTAGGTCAAATGTGCTTTGGGCTGGGTTCGCACAACGAATTGGTATTAGAAATTATGGTTCACAACCAGAAGGCCCAGCATCAATGGTACAACTCATTGGAAGGAGGAGACACAACATTGAGAGAAATGAGGAAGATCTTAGCTTCAGCATGTGCATGCAAAAAACTTGTGCAGGTAAAAAGGTTTTGTCCTGGCTTCAAAATTATGAGTTACTTTTATCTTTATGATTAAAAGGTTTGTCTTAGATAATCTGCAAATATGCAGAGGAAGTCGTAGCATTACCCCAAATAAATGAAATTAACATTAAACTATCCTTAAAACATGTAGAAAACATAGAACTGATGTTCTTCTCTCACAATGATAATTCATCTCTATATTGGGATTCTGGATTGTTCATATTTGGAGGCTTCAAGGAATTGCAATTAAACATTTTATTTTCATTGATAAAAAAATTGAGCATTTTATTTTCAAAATTATTAAGAAGACAAATATATATTCTAACAAATTTTCTCAGAAAGTCATTAGGAGCAAGTTTTGACTCCAGTTGAAAGAGTGCAAATGCAGAATCATGGTCACATTCCTGATTTGATACGGTGCAAAAATTCTCTGTATTGGCTTTTTCGCCCGTTCTATACTGAAGTCATGTAACAAAAAATTGTTTTTTATTCTAATAACATATAGTTTAACAAATGTGTTTTGCGTGGCAGAAGATCCTGATTTATTGCAAAACAATCATTGTTGATTGTTTTGCAATAAATCTTAAAATTGCACTCACATTTGATAACTCCTGAAAAAACATTGTTTTATTTGTTTATATGATACATGTGCCTTTGTATATTTACATCTCAAATAAGATAGGGCTCAATAATTGTACTTTGATACATGAATGCTGGTTTTGTAATTTGTACTATTGTATTTGTGGTTTCCATGACATGTTTGGGAGTCTAAAGATACTGTTTTATATTCAATTTCTATTTTTGATTCAAATTTTGAATCTCATAAATGTATTTCAAGACTTATAACTGACAAGTAAGACATAGTGAGCTAATAATCTCAAATTAAACCATTGTTGCCAAGGAGAGAAGATGGCATTGTAAGGGAGAGTTTAGAGGTGTTTCTATCGAACCAGTTAGGATGTCGCACAATTGTAAATTAGCATACTCATTGAGCATTTGAGCACAAATTATCAAAAAAAAAAAAAACTCATTAAGTATTTGAGCACATCTTGGGTAAAGCAATAGCGATAAGAGTTGTGTTTTCTTAACTTAATTTTCATAATATTTTAATGATTAAGTGTTCAATTCAAATATGAGAATGAGATTCTACTTAATTTTCTATAATCTAAACTGCAAAAGGAACAGAGAATTCTACTATGTTTTTTTCCTAA